TCCTACAGCGCTGCTATTGGCAGTATCACTCCACCCCTCGTTAACAATAGGTATTAATTAGGTGTCAACGATAGCCATGTGATGTGAGTATCAGTTACCTGGAGGCAGGACTCAAAAGCCTGAATTTTGCCTGAAACTCTCAGACTGAAGAAGTCTCTTGGAGGAGAGACGAAACGTTTCGTTAAAGAAGAACCCGTCCAGAGGACCTGTACAATTTTTTTCCTTTTGACCTCAAATGTTTGTGTTTTTAAGTCACACTTTTGGTCTGATCAACCCGGGGTTGCAGTGTTTCTTGCATCCACGCCATTGGAAGTTGACCACAGTCCCGTAAACCTTCTTTATCCATCTTTATAGTCTGCCTCCAATGATTTAAATTTCTTTGTTATCCATTAAAGTGATCTTGATCTGTAGATAGTTTCATTTTTTTTGGGATCGTAGCTTTTTTTTTACTCATTTTTTGCTCACTTTTTTAGTCTGAGAGCACATAATTCAGTTTGGCCATTAAAAATCAAAGAAAGCGACCAAATGAAGGTGAAAAGAAAAAGTGTCAGACCTGAAAACTTTCATCAGCATCTAAAAAGTGTACGATCCTTCAGCTAATCAACTACTATTTGTCAGGTTTGCAGCTCATGATCTTTTGGGTTGAATTTATTGGAGCTAAAATAACATTTTCTCTCTCTCAAACCATGTTTTTAGCATTTTTCATAAACTAACTGGGAACAAATTGTAACTTGGTGGCAGACCGCTCGTTAAAAACTGCGCACAGTTGGCATAACAACACAATTAGGACTGTTGAGACGATAAATTAAATGTGTGTCTCGAAAAAAAATGAAGTGAGAAAAATTCATCACAGCGTTCTTGGTGAAAAATCCTCTTTAGTGATTTCTGCTCTGGTCACCGTGAGATTTTCTCTCAGATTCTCAAAACCGAAAGCCTTCTGCAGGTAAGATACTGACTGCTCTTTACAACCCTACCTAAAAAATAAGTGTTAAATAAAATCTTGTGATATTTCCTGGAGTCATTTCTCAACCACCAGGATAAAAATACATCCAGTTATCATTTTAAGAGTAAATCTTCAAAAAGAACAATTCCAGCTGCCAGGAAAGACCGGAGGGGTGGAGAAATCAAGATCCCAAGAAGAAAAATGTTTGAACAGAAACTGCAAAGTTATCTTTTCATTTTGCTGTCAAAACCTTTTGAATTACATGTTAAAAGTTTCATAACATTTGCTGGTTTATAATTTCTGTGTTGAAGGAAACAGTAAAAACATTGTTTCTCTTCCAGGCTTGTAGCTTAAAAAAAGCAAAAAAATCAAAACAAAAGCACCATTCAGACATATTTTATCATTTGTTTTTGTTGCTTTTAGTTCCCATATGGTGAGCATCGAGGTGGGTCAGGAGCCTGCTGTTGGAATTTGTTTTATTTTGAAGGTCGAGGGTCGAGACTGATGAGGTGGAACAGCTCAGTTTTCTGCCACACATGGACTTTCAGCACCTTCTGACCAGCAGGAAAAGCCTCCATGTGACCAAACAGAGCGTGTGACGAGACCTGCAGCTCTGAGCAGAGAGGAAGAACGCACGATTGTTCAAAACATCCACCTCAACTTTGGCAATCTGCAAATTCACCAAACCCACAATAAATCTAACAATATTTTTTTAAATAATTAAGATTTATCAATAAAAAAATACACATTTTGCTCCTCTGTTTTAAAACTCTGCTGTAGCTTCAACAGATTAAACTTTATCCTTTTAAAGAAGTTAAAAATCTCCAAAACCCAAACCCAGACGATACGATTAGATCAACAAGTTGCCCAAATTCTCAACGCCGTAACAGCTCCTTGCTTTGTTTACTTTGAAATATCTGGCTGGAAATGATTCGTGTAAAAACCACAAGTGCTTTAAAGCTTGTTCAAGTTGTGCAAAAATAACAAGACTTTAGTTAAATTACAGAAAAATGTGAGGTTTTGATCTGGTAAGAACTTAAAAAAGGAGGCAAAATGCCATCAGGTTTTGTAGTTTAGCTTTAATTCAAAGTAACTTTAAAGTTGAGGAAGAAAGCTGAAGCTTCAGCGCAGACGGAGCAGACGCCTTTATGAGTTTAAATCTCTCTGCAGAGCCAGATGTCACTCTGTAAGGAGCATCAGTGACCTGAATTTGATTCTGGAAGGCTTTGGTTGCCAGCGAAGGTCAATAAGTAATGAAGTGATCCCTTCTGGCTGATTAAAACACCGCGCACACAGGTGTTTTATTTGCCTTTTTTTTTATAAAGGCCTGATAGAAAAGCACCGTTATAATCAGAAGCAGGAGAAAACAATAATCTGGACTTATAACTCAGGCAGTTTTACAAAGTCCGAGCACCAACAGATCCTGCAGCGTTTATTACGGGGAGCAGGGTGGAACCGGTTTTGTGTCTCCTGTTTTGCTGCAGGATCAACACGTTGTTGCACCGTCCTGTAACGACGTTCTGTTGGGTTGTGTTTGTGTGTCTGCTTGAGTTAAAATGTTTTAGTCCTGCAGACGCAGAATTTTAAAGATTATTGCTGCTGGCACCAAGCGTGCCCCCCCCCCCCCCCCCGCCTCAGGTTGATTCAGTTTCAGCAGGAGCCCTCTCAGGTCACAGCATCACCATAATAGAAAAAAACAGAAAGAAAGGCTGGAAATGTAGCAGATTTGAAGGAATGAATCTAATGGATCAGAACATCTTGTTGATATAAAAGTATCTGAATCTCATGTCAGACAGTAAAATGTGACCAACTTTGTTTAAATTAAAGAGAGGGCCTCATATTGATAAGACACACTGACTCTCTGGCTCTGTTTAAACCATATGGCTGCAATGATAAAGTGTGAAATACAAGACTGGATCTTAAAGGGCCAGTATTAAGTTTCTCAGGCATACATTTAAATACTAAACCATAATAACGTATCTTATGTCACCTTGTTTTTATGTTTAAATAGAAAATAAACGTATCTTCTCATCACTTCCTCTTCTAAATGCCTTGAACTTGGCCTCTGTCTCTTTAAGAACCACCTTCTGCTTCTGTCCCGCCCATTTCAGTGTGGAGGGGGGGGGGTGCTATGATGCAGTTTACTTGGCATCTGAAAATACGTTTCCTCCAAGGTATTTTTCATCTGATAAGAGCTTCACTGAGTGAGAAGTAGTGGAGCTCAGCAGACAATTTCAGTTTCACTTTCAGTTTCACCCGTTGTTTGCTTTGTTACTGCCGAGAGCCTGCAGGAGTCATGGGTGGGGTGTGGGGAAGGGAGGGGAGGGGGAGACTCTGCCATGAGGAAGTTCGGCTTAAAGACACGTCCCAGAGTCGTTTCTGGTCCCCACCTGTCGTTTTGCTCCTCAGCATGGCTGCCTAAAAACGCTGCAGGATTTCTCAAACATGCATGAATGAGTCAGAACAAGGCTTTAGGTGTGTTTTTTATGAGAGTATAACATTATAACCTGATATAAAACTCAAAAAAGTTGATTTTACATGATGTTGCACCCAATCAGTTAATTAGTCACAAAATTTCCTTCAGAACGATAACGTCCAGTGGTGGGCACAGTTCCCCTAAAGCACTAAAGCACTAATAAGGGAACTAATTTCCTGATTAGTGCTTTAGGGCTTTTGCTAATTTTAAAATTTATTAGTGGATTAGCACTTGCTAAATTTATAGGGTAAATTTAGAAGCACTGAGCACTATGAATGTTAATGATCAACAATGTTAACAGCTGAGGGTGAAAACTGTCACACATGTTGTTCATATGTGCGTCACTGATCCACCAGGTGACAATATATGAACCCAAATCCAGCTGTAGGATGTCAATGATAAGTCTTAAGAGAGCAACATGGCAACATGTGACTCATGTTGTCTGTTGAAGAATGTTCATGGGTTGACCGGGTTCATTTAGTGCTTTAGTGGACCTAAATATTTGAGTTAGTGTTTTAGGATTAGTGGAACTAATATTTAGATTAGTGCTGCCTACAACTGATAACATCACAGTATTTGGTGCAGAACTGCTATACTGCAAAAACTGTTCATCTTACCAAATTTTAAAATCTTATATCAGCCAAAAAGTCTTTGTTTTTGATCTTGTTTTGAGACTGATTTACTAAACAAGAACTGATTGTGTAAGAATAATAATCTTGTTTTCAGAATGTGTAAGATTATTTGTCTTGTCTGAAAATTCGACTCAAATTATGTCAAAAAAATTCTGCCAATGG